CTGTCATTGACCAAAGGCCACGTTAAAAGTGTTTGGGAACGTTTTAATTCTCTCCCTGCAATGCTCACAATGCAAATCACACAGAAGTTGGAATTAATTTTTAAGGGTTTGTATGAACATCAGATTCCTATTTTTTCTGTTAAGAAACACATTGTTTTTACATATGTACATATACACTTAACTGCTTAAATTCTGGTGACAGTGAAATGATCAGGTTATCCTAAGACTTCAAACTTTTTGCTGAGGCCCCATACCTGGAGTTTCATGTTTTCAAAACATGACATTGACATTCCCAAGCACCCTCCTGGTAGTGAGTAGATTAGAATAGCACATGAGCATGTAAACTTTAAACTCAGTATGCATACAAATAAGTTTGAGAGGTTACTATTTGTTTTTGTAGAAGAAATCTAAGCAGACAACGGGTGGCCATTAAGTGTTTTATAGGCTTATTAATTTATGCTCTATGAATCCACAACCCTGATTCAAGTATGAGCATTGTTTTACCTTGAGCATCTTTTTCTTGAGTATGCATATATTTCTATTCTGCACCAGTGTTGTACATTATTCAGGCACTATTTGCCGCTTGGTGCACACCAGAAGTCGTACTTACAGCTCAAACTGAGCTTCTACAAAGTTCCTGACTATACTGGATGACAGCTCCTCATTCAGATGTGAAACTTTCGTGTATTCAGGACAGCAGCTGATTTTACTATCAATTTTTTTGACTTCGTACCGTGCAGGTACCACAGCAAAGACTGAACTTTACCTTATTATGTACACTCAAAAGAACTGTTTACGAATTCCAAACAACTAACTGCACGGATTTGCCTGCAAAACCACCAAAACTGGTGATTGTGTACGAATGAAGGCAATGCACCAAGAATACAAGGTTGAGTTTCTACAGCTGAAATAGTATTTTTACTTACTTTATTTAAGTAGGAAAAAAAAAAACATACAGAAGAAACCTAAGATGTGGTTTTACACAGTAACACTTCAGAATAAAAGTACTTTAAAAATACGTCTTGCAAGGCACTGGAAGTCATCCCTGCCAACAAATGTTAGCTTTTCACTATTGCTCATGTAAGCTAAGAATGCATTAAGAATGCTGATAGCATTCCATTTTTTTCCATTACAAATGTATTTTTGTATGTGTTTAGTACATTTCGATTCATACTAGTTATCACTAGCCAGACTTAAAAAATAAGTAATTTTAAAATGTGTATTTTAATAATGATTATTCATGATTGTATTTATCACTCTCAACTATTAATTACCAAATATATTTGCTGGACGTAAGCCTTTTGTATTTCAATAAAACATAATAAAACTATTTGCTTGAAAATTTCACAAGGAATTAACACTTCATCTCACACTAAAACACGTCATGTTATCTTAAAACTGATGTAAATCACAGAATCATTAAAGGTTGGAAAAGACTTCCAAGATCATCAAGTGCAACTGTTGACCAATCTCCACCTTGTCAAGTAGACCATAGGACTGTCACAACCAGTCATCTCTTGAACACCAGCAGGGATGGTGACTCCACCACTGCCCTGGGCAGTCCATTCCAATGTTTAACCACCCTTTTAGTGAAGAAATTCTTCCTGATATCCAACCTGAACCTCTCCTGGTGCTGCTTGAAGCCACAAAGGTACAATTGGAGATGAAAGCCATAATGGAAGTGAAACAAAATTACATTTCCTAGATAAAGGCTGAATTACTTCAATCTTCTTAATTAAAAAACTACCACTCTGATTTGGCCCTTAAGACAGGAAAATTTCCTAAGACTTGTTTTAAGGGAGGAAATAAAAACCACAACAAACCAACACTCCCCAGACCCACACCACTTCTCCACCTCAAACAAAGCTTTCCCTGTAGCATACACACAGCAGACTTGGTTTCACCAGTCACTAACTGTCATAAGATAAAATGGAAAAGATGCGAAGAGTACACAACATAGCAAATGAGAGACACATTGGAAATTATAGTAATAAGTGTTGAAAAAATAGTAATAAGAGGAAAAAGATACTTGTTTCAATAAATATTAAGAAAATAAGTATGAGACAGAGAGAATGAATTCAGAATTTTTTAATATCAGAATGTTATTTTGGAGGAATGCTTACCTTAGAAAGTAAAGGCAAAATCTTTACTAGAGTAAAGCTTTAAAGAGTAGCTTTAAGCACCAAAACCATCTGAGAGAAAAGCAGCAGACGGTTCCAGCACAGAAATCCTTTTATCCTTCTCGTAATTTAATTTACCCTTATTTATTATGTTTCAAATCTTCAAAGACAAAATGGTAAGAAGACACAAGTGAGATTTCAACATGGAATGCATTTATTTTTTATTTTTAATTTTCAGTACAGTATTAGGAGGTCATTTAAATACTTTAAATAAAGATTTTTGAGAAAAAACCCCAATGGATTTGACTAGGTAAAGAAAAACAATCTTAACAGTGGATGAGACACAAGTATTTAATGACCTTATGATCTTCCAAGTAGCATTCTCAAGAAAATGCATTTTCCTGGGTCACCTAGTCAGGAATGTAGCCTAGTTTGGAGATTCACTTCCTCTCCTTTGCTTTGTGGAGGGCTTTGTGCAGAAGATCTCAGCTCTAATGGACAACTTCACTGACAGGCAGGGATAATTTTATTTATTCTCTTTTTAATCAAACACACAGACAACCAAGACAGTGTGCTTTAACAACCAAATTATTTTTTCTGCTACAACTGTACATCTGAAGGGCATTATATCATACTACAGTCCTACAGATGAACCCTCTCCCCACCTTTTTATTTCCACTCCAAATCAACTAACTGTATAATTATTTGATACAGTAGATGGGACCACAAAAACAATTGGTGAGCAGCTGAATATTGTCTGACGTGTTAAAACAATTGGTGAGCAGCTGAATATTGCCTGACGTATTAAAAAAAAATGTATCTGAAACTAACTGCAAATGAATTTTGTTGCATATAAAGATCAGTAAACTAAGAGCAGATGCTGCTTTTAGTACAGAGAGGAAAAAAAAAGGGGGAGGGAAAAAAAGCAGCCTGCTACTGTGCAAACTAGAATATCCTGATGGCTGGAATGTATCTTTTTCTTGCCTCAGAAATACTGCTGGAGCAACACAGAGGTGGGAACATCTCCTTTAGGAACATCCAGTCACCAGAACTTCTTCCACTATTTCAAAGTCCATTTTATTTTTCTAATAGCTCATATTTGTTAGTCATTTAGTTAAGAAAGACTCCTATACACTCCAACCTGAATAAAGAATTTTCTTTCCGATCCCAGTCAAGGGAACCCTGTCATAATCAAAGGAACAGCCTGGGGAAATGCAGTTAATTTTATTTAACTTCCCCACAGGTATGTTTATACACATATATACTAAAATAGTTAAGCATATATATGTATATATACATACACACACTTAAGTGTTGAGTTTCTTTACTTACTATGTTCAGTCTTGTAAGCTCCATGGTTTTTTTTATATAGATACATATAAACTGAGACTGAACGTGTTAAGTCAAGCAGCTAAATTCAGACAGGAATAAATACAGGTCAGTTCCATGATTTTTCTCCCTTGTATCACATGAGCAAGCACAGCTCCTTGAAGTGCTAAGTTTCTGGAGGCTGGAAGTTGTGAAAGTTTGGTTCCAATGCAGCAAAACATGAAACCAGTAACCTAAATTTCATAAGCTGCACCTTTAATTTCATGCAACACTGTACAGGTTTGGACACTACTTTCTAGCCAGCAGCCTGATGCACTTCTCCTTTCATCTTCCAGCCAAAATTTACAGATTCAATGAAGAATTTGTGTAGAATGAAAACATTTTCTCATTTGCAATCACATGGCCAATAATAGAGTGGGTATGCAGTGAGAGCTGAGATTCCCTGATGCAGTGGGTTTGTACAGAGTTAACTACTACTTGAGTATCTCCACAAGTATTACAGTAAGGAGTGCCATTTATAACACCAAACAGACTGTGGCATGAAGCCACAATCTAAGGTCAGCAAGGATGTATGCATAAGGAGCTTTTGCTGTGCTACAGAAATGTACCTCTTGAAAATTCAGTATATTTATGCATTTAAAAACTAAAGTTTCCAAGAGGTTTCAAACTGAGTAAAGAGTGAGGAAGCCAATTTATAGTATAAGCAAACTTTGTCAATTAAAAGAGCAAGATTTCAGGTTAAGTAAGTAACTGGACATCAAGCCACTTATATTTTGATTTCCTATTGGAAAGCTAATAAATAGTCAGATTTAGTTTGTTGAAATAATGGCCAGCATGGTAAAACAATGTTCACAAAGGTGAAAGAGATGAATCTTAAAATGGTATTAAATTAATGATTCCCACCCACAAAAAACTCCCAAAACAAATTGCCTATTAAGGGAAGTGTTACAAGCTATGAAACTTGACAGAGGAGATTTAGATAAAGCTCAGTGTCCAAATCACTGTAATATTAAGATGATGTGTGATGTTATTGGACCAATTTCTTACACAGTCTAACAATGAGACCTCACATATCTCATCAGAATTAAAATAAACAGGATGCCTGAGGCTCAGGCCTCGATATTCATTGAAGTTAAATTGCCACCAAAAAGCTGAACAAATTTCCCTTATGCTATCCTTAATCTTATATGTCTCCAGATACAAGGCTTGGACAACTTTGAGTAATACGTTGAAATTACACTACCTGGCTAAACAAACTGTCCAAGAACTTCTGACAGAAATATGGTCAGAAAAATAAGTCTAAAGCAAATTTGTACTTTAAGAGAAAAAAAAAAAAGAAACTAAGAAGTGGTATAAGCCCTAATGAGCAGTACATTCTTTGAGGACCTTCGATATTACACTACATCCACATACATGAATGCTCTTCTCGGAATGTACGGAAAGCAACTTCTCTTAAACCAAGACAGAGAATGCATTAAATAGGAATTTATGGGTCTCAAGTTTGGGAGGATTTCCCATCAGATTCTGAAAATAAGAATAAGTCACTAAATACAGACACTAAGAGTTTGCAAATCAGGACATAAAATGTCTCAGATTATATAAAAGTATACTCCAACTTCTCCGTAACAGAAGTCAAAGCTAAGGCCTCACAATTCCAGTTATTAGAAACAGCATGTCCTTTTTACTAGGCCACCACTTGAAGCCAATTATTCAGTGTTTTAAAGAAAGAATGTTATAAAAAGCTGGTTGCAATGCAGTTCTTTGTAATATGTACCCAAGTACAGACAGATTGCTTAAAAGTGTTTAGAGTTATAACAGAAACTGCTAAAGAAAATGCAACATATAAACAAAATGCAACAAACTACACTGACTGAAGTTCCTTCAAGGTCCTCATACCTAGTAAAGTTCACTACACAAATTAAGCATCATAAAGTACAAATTAACAAACCACATGATTAATAAAATCTGTTCACTTTATATTAAACATCTCTAATATGATTATAGAATGTTTACATCCTCTGCTGCACAGAGGAATTCTTCCCTTTGTATCATGGGCAAGGGTTCTCATCTCAAATGCTACTGTGAAAGATGCCCATTTATTTCAACAGGTTCTGCAGCATCGCCGTAGCGTACGTAGGACGAGCTTGTCTGCTTGCAATTGCATTCTGAAGATACTGGATACCTCCACAGCGCTCCCAAATTTCTTCAAAGTGTCTCGGCAAAATTTCAGCCCCTCGCTTTCGGGTTAAGCCAGTCTCTTCAAGATTAAGCTCACACATATCCATATCATCCTTACCTGAAATGGTAAAGGGAAAATGTTTTTACATCATTCAAAGGTCCCCATTAACAGATTAGATCTTTGTTAATAAGATTTCTTCTCTGAAGCTCTGGTTTGTTAAAAGACTTCCGAATTTATGGGGAAATGAGTCCTCAGACACAGGTATTTTTTGGTTTGTTTTTTTTTGTTACACACAGAGCACTAGAGCAATATCGGAATAAACTAGTATCAGATGTTGTAATTGACAAAGTTGTGCTTAAGAAGCAAGTACAAAAGAACAAAGGACAAAGTTGACAAGATTATCATCTTGATATATTCTCTTGTAATCCATTACAGGGTGACAACTGCATTTATTTTACATATGCTTTCAGTTTTAGGCCATTTCACAGTGAACTGCTGTTTCTGTTTGGTTAAAAGTAGCAAAGCAATGACGAACTCCAGACTTTTGATCAACTAGTTAATCTGTCAGCCTCCCACACAGAACAAATTGTGTTCTTACCAAATGGGACCAACACAGGCAATCCAATGGGAAGGGTGTAGCTCACACACTAAATTGTAATCTCATTTTTAACAGGTGAACCATTGAATATGATACCCATGACAGCAGTGCTATTTTTAGCTATGGGCTTTGACACTGAGCAGCAATGGTTGGTATAAGGATTCTATTAAAAATAATATTCAGAAAACAAACTTATGTTGCTAGCAAAGCATAACTCCACAGGAAAATAAATTGGTTATGGCCTTTTCCTTGGTCTCCAAGATAAACACAAAAACTCCAGACAGAACCATAAAAAGCATTTCTCCAGTGTTTTCTCCCCCTTTCACTATCCTCCAGAAAAGGTGGACACATTTCACTACCAGATAAATCTCTACCTATCCATTGCAACATTTAGTTTTTATTTTAAATGTTGAAGATTAAAAAGCTATTCTCCCATACCAAGCACATAATAGGGCAAAAGCATCAGTTTGCTATTAGCACCATACTATGGAAAGGCAATATAAGGTATGTATGAATTGTTTTGATACAATCTGCTCATAACATTTCAAAGCTAACTTAAAAACAATACAATGATGAATAGACCTTTCCCAGATGAATTGTGATGTTTTATCTTCACACTGTCTGCAGTTCAGTGAATAATACGAGGACACTTAATAAAGACATTTGCATGTGGATTCTCACTCTATATACAAATACTTTGTTTTATATATGTACAAGTAAAACACGTGGCTAATTACATCTCCAAACAATTTCCTGCAACATTTGGCCACCATCAACAGCAGCCTCAAATTCTGTCCAGATAAGAACTGCTGATGAAATTAAAAATAAAAAGGATATAGCTTGGGAAACTTGTATCCTCAGGCTCTTTTTCTAAAGCAAGTTATCAACTTTGAACTTTTTCCAGGTTTGAGTTTTTCTTTCAATACCAACCTGCTACAAGCAGAATGGGTGCCTTGTCAGGATGAAGTTCCATTTGTCGAGCAATCCATGGCCCATCAAAATGTGCATACCACCAGCCCTTCTTCTTGTTCTGGGGATCTTTGTACTGGTCCGCGGGGCGGATGAAGGGAATGCGGAAGTAACGCTGTTGTCTGTTCATTTCAATCTCCTGCTGCCTGCCTGGTAGCTGGGCTGTTGGGTTCTGTTGTGCTATCATATGGAAAAAAACAAACAAAAAACCCAAAAAACCAAAAATAAGCAAACAAAAAAATTACAAAACAAAAAAATCCATATTATTACTTACTTGATTAATCGTCAATTTTTTCAAAAAAATAAAACCGAAACAGCAAAGAAGAAAACAAATCCCACCTCCCAAAACCTGAGAGATTCTCTCTGAATTCAAAATCATCAAAAGTCTCATCAAACCTAAAAACTATTCCCATCTTACATAATGTGCATTCCTTTAATCACAACGGCTCCAACACTGGTGAGGAAAGGGTCATGTTAAGTATTGCATCTATCTGTTGTTATAGAGGTTGCTCAATGGCATGTTTGTTTAAACAAAACAGATTGAGCAAAATAGCACATTCTGCTTTAAATCAATATTTAAGGTAAAACTTCCTATAGAAAATTTCTTACCAACCAGAATAATTTATCAGTAACTGCTTTAGTTCTGTGCATCTCTTTGTAAAACAAGGTCACAGCTCAAAGAAGCATTTCAAGTCACAAAAACACAAAACATCACTTGAAGATTTTTGACAGTCAATGCAGAAGGGTGTATAATTCTGTTAGAAGTTACTAATTTGTTAATAGAAATGCCAACAACAATTATTGCTTATTACAAAGCTGACATCAAACATAACTTTCCACCTAGATTTCTGTGTACTAAACTCCAGAATTAGAACTTATATCTGGCTGCTTTCTTGGTAAAAGAAATTCTTTATTTCAGACCACTAAGATCAACTGACCAAATGTCTAAAGGAGTCAGAGTTATATGAAATCTTTTTAAAGCTTCATTCGTATTTTTGGTAAATATTTTCCATCTGCATTTTTAGACTCTGAATTCCACACATTTCAGACTCTGGTGGGAAACTTTCTTTCAAATAAAAGCACATACTCTGTATGTTAACTCATCAACTGATCAATCTTCTTAATGTAATGAATACACTATCATAGTTTTAAATAGTAAATGCTCTTACAAGAGAGATCCTTTCCTTTAATAATTGCCTCCTGCAAAAGTTTGTTACTGATCTTGTTGCAGTGGTTTACATCACCACTGTTACAGATACCCTGTTTAAGAAACTCTGAATTTGAAACTATGCCACCTCTACAAAA